TATCAATCGAAAGGAGACTGCGACCACACCAGAGGCCACAACATCTTGGTCTTCATATATTCAATTAAGTATTTATAGTTTAGTAGCCAGAATCTAGACTTCCCGTATACCTGGTCAAAAGCAGCTTTCCAATAACTACTATGAAATAGCTCAAGTAATGTACAAAGTTATCTATGATAATGTCTTTATACTAGTGAAATACAATTTTTTCATAAGAAATTCATATCTTAATGACAAATTCTTTGTAAATGTGCAAACTTGTAAATTACGAGTCAAGCTTACCACGACTAACAGTTTTAATCAAATTTGTAAAATAATATTTATCTTCAATTATTTGAGCAAATAGTAGGATAATTATAAAATGTATGCTATTCAAATCCATTCTTTTCAAATTTAAATATAAATTGGACGGTGTATGATTTCAGGCGCTATATTATGGCAACGATCATCAATTTAGTTTGAATTATCTGGTTAAAAGCCAGGGAAAATATATTGGTTTTTTACAAAGACCCGTTGGTTTAATTTTTCAAAAATAATTTCTTAAATATCACGTTTCAGGCCCGGAAAGGGCGAGAGCAAGTATGAAGAGGCAAACTTTAGCCCAGTTTACATAGTCTTCTTCTTACTACTCTCCCGAGTGTTGACACTGTTCACTAAAACAAACATCTCTGGGATGAGGGAGAAACAAAAAAGTAAAATTAAAGAAATTCTTGCTTGTATATGAGGAAATTTTACATATACAGGAGAATGGCCTGGATGGTATTGGGCCATGAAGTAATTTATTCAGCTAAAAGGATTTTAGCTTGGGTAAGTTCAGATTACAAGAAATGAATATGAATTTCTCGTCTTCCTTTATATGTACCTAGCATTAATATTTGCTGCCTCATCTGTGAAAACGATAGGAAAACTTTTAAGTTTGAGTAGATTGGCAACAAAACCTTCAAAGAACGGTGTGCAGAAAACGGCAAATTATTGAGCTTACTTCCATTGCGAATAAAAGTGTTTGGTGAAGAGATTCAATGGACGATTCCACCAGAAGACGACGGTGGATTCCTCTTGACTAGCTGTCGATTGGCTTTACTTGAACATTCATGGTGACGCTGTTTCCGAGTTAATCTCCTTCGATTCCGGTAAAAAGGTGCTAAGCAAGGTATCATCATCACAACCAAATTCAAGTTAATGCGTCAAGAAATCCCTAAGGTTTTGCCGGTCCGTCATATGACGAACAAAAACTTAGCACCATTTCACCGGAATCGAAGAAGATTACCTCGGAAAAGGCGTCACAATGAATGTTCCAGTAAAACCGATTGAGAGCTGGTCAAGAGGAATCCGCCATCGACCATCGAGTCTCTTTACCAAACACTTTCACTTGAAATGGAAGTAAGCTCAACAATTGTGAAATAAGAAATTCCTCAAAACCCAACTTTTCTTCGCCAAAGGGCAAATGTCTTTGGGTGGATTATTTTTATATCCCCATTCAGGTGGTTTCTAAAGATCACCAAAATATAAATAGAATTTTGAAAAAAATAGTTAGACAAAGCTGATGAACTTACTGGTGGCTTTGTGCCAGCTTCTTGACCTCAAAGTCACAAAACGTGACGCGGGGAAAATGGCCAGACTCTTCCCAGTCGCGACCCATGGCAAGGTCGTAGAGCACACGGATTCCATAGAAGCTGTACTTGACACCCGTATATGACTCGAGCATGTAAATCTGGGCGATAAGATTGGACAAGTAGAGCAGCTTTACGAAGAAATAGAGGCTGACGAGAAAATTTCCGCGGTACTTGCAGCAAACAAGTCTACATTGGGGTTCAGTATTAGGCATATTGGTTGTCATGCAGCAAAAGCACCAGACCCGATAGACACCGGCTACGGGACTCATTGGTTGCAAGGCTGCCTCGTTGGACGGCCAGCCCCCAGAAGCCTCGGATGCTGCAAAATAGGATAACTCATCTGCCCCGTTTGATCCAGATGCCTTGACTCCAGTCCCCTTACTCGCGGCCAGGTTTGAGTCAATTAGATCAAATGTATGTTGACAAGCTAAATCCTCTTCAGCGTGAAGAAAAGAGGTGGCAGCACCGGTACGGAATCGCTTATCAATCCGCAGGCCTCGAAAACACCGGCCACCATGCTTTCGGCCAAAGCGGTTGGTGTCTCTTCCATCTAAGGGTCAGGATGCATAATTGGATGGATGTTAAGAACAATAAAAGTAAGAAATTAAATGGAAGAAGGTGAGATTTAAGTGAATATTGTCTATAATCTCTTATGAGATAGTAGTGAATACGTAAATGTGGTAATAATAATAGATATTGAATAAGTCAAGTAACATTAAACAGATAACAACCACAATAGTAAGAATTCCTCCTGTGTTTATGCATGCTCTATGATGAGAGTTGAGCTTTATACGAAAATTTAAAGCAAGGACTTGGGTCTGGTCTGAAGTCTTTTGTGGTAGTCCAAAAGTGATTTCATCCATTTGGTAATAGTTTAGATTAGGTGAGTACATGGTCTAGTGCTTTAAATATAAGAAAATGCCCCAAATGTACAATCTAATAAAGTTATGCTTTCCTGCTTAGATTAATTTTCATTAAACCCTAGAAATTCAAAGATGCCAGCCGTTAGTACAGATTTATTCAGTGATTTTAAATACATAACAAACGAAGTTTCTTTTTGGTGCATAAATTCTAAATAGGAGCTTAACTCCTTGAATTGATCATCAAATGATTTGACAAAAAATTACCATCTGATTTCGAATACTATGGCTAAAACCTTTGGATCTAAATTTCATTGTATTAAGTTTATATGAACATTTTTCCAAGAACAAACTTGCTTCTTGCAATTTGGTCGGGTTGCAAGAGTGACATAGTTGGACACACTTTGTCCAAAGTCTTCTGCTATAGTAGATATAATAATTCGCAGCGTTAAACCGTAGAGTTGGTACATTTACAGACATGTAACGGCATCATGAAAGGATATTTCCAGTTTTAAAATTATGCTACAGCTCGTCAAAGAGACAAATAAAGTCAATCACTTGACCAACTTCCTATTGTGCCATAAATCCTTTATTTGTCCTGGCCCATCTATTTAATTCCCACCATCTTAGCTTAATTCTTTATATTCCACTGCTCAAGGAATGTGTCCTTTTTGGCAAGTCTAGTATAGCTTCATTACAATTGCCGTTTACCTGCTCCTCCTCTTCCTCGATTTGCTGATCAAACTCGGACAGGATCCATTTCTTATCGTTCTCATTGACTGATTTTACTCTCTCCCTGATTCAACCCGTGTACCCCGAGCAAAGTGTGTTGGTCTACCTCTGGTTGCATGTTGCGCCCTGACTGGAAACGAGTGAAATCGGTCATCCAAAAAGATAAGAAACGGATCTACAGGCCCATGAAGGAGATTCGGATGGGAGGTCCGAATCTGATCAGCAATTCGAGATGGAGAGAGGTCAAGGTATACAGCAGATGTGATGACGCCAAATTAAACTCGTCATAAAAGGAACACTTCTTCAGAAGTGGATTATAAACAAGTTGGAAGTGATTGAGATATGGGGCCACGGAGTGGGTAGATGTATCAGGACGGAAGGAGCGATCGAACAACCGTTCAGCAGAAACTAGTTTAAGGCAATGACTTCACTTGCCTCTTTGACAAATTGTGGCTTGGTGCTGAGAATGGCAACACCTATTGGTGATGCTGACAACGATGCCGGCGAAAATTCTGGGAACTTACCAAATCTACTGCCTGATGCTGGTAATTATCATAATAATTATAGCAGAGGACTTCGGAGAAGTTGCGTCCAACCATTTGCCTCTGACAACCAAAAGCTGCGAAAACGAGGTCAAAACACTTCTAAAAATCAAAAGGAGATTGCGACTAAAATAGAGTCAACAACATCTTAGTCTACATATAAAAGCTTTTTGTTCTTTTTAAGTTAATGGCTCAATTCGCGGATAATTAGGTTGTGATGTTTTGATCTAGGCGTCTCTTTGGTATTAGTATTAAATACT